CCGGCCACCTCCATCGCTCGAATGGCGTACGGAGATGGGAGGAGGATTCACCAATATACAAATTACACCGAGGAAGGAAACCTTTCCTTCCTCCGTGTATAAGTACGTATATTGACCAGCCGGGCATGGTCGCACGGGTATCTTTGGAGACCAGCAGGTGGCTCGTATACCTTCGCAGTTGTTGAGCGCTCATCGTAACGCAATAGTAATACGCAAAATGCGAAAACTCATCGTAACGCGCCTGCGTTGAAGTCGTAGACAGCGCGAGGTCAATTTAGCGCCTTTTTTTTATGGAGCACGGCCTGCTATGTAGTAGGTTCGAATCCCACTTTGTCCTGGGTGTTTTTATTTAGTGTTTTTTTTTTATTTCGTGCTTTAGTGATAACGGACACCGGTGGCGGACAACTACGGCGTCGCACGTGACTCGTGTTGTGATCTCATAACAGCTTTTGTGAAATGCTATGAACACAGCGGGATTCTAACCCGGATCCCCTGCGTGCCAGCTCAGTATTCTACCGCAGAGCCACGCCTGCGTATGAAACTCCGTTGCCAACTTGCCTTAGGTAGGCTTGATGTCGGGAAAGGAGTCGTGTTGGTATGAGTAATAAAACGTTTTAGAACAGCAAAGAAACAAACAGGCGTCACACAATGCGAATCGCCTAACGATCGATCGAGTGGGTCGTCCAATGTTTCAACCAATAACAAAAGCTTGTTTTTGATCACATTGCTTGTGGCGCATACCCACCTCAGGTCTAATTATTCATCGTTGACAGCCACTGCATGAAAAATTGGCACAAAATTTCTTACCAGTGTGTACCGGCCGGGTACCGCGCTTTTCCTAAGAATGTCGAAGAATAGCACAGTGAGTGCCAGCCTACTACAGAGAAATTATGATTACTTATGGCGTAGTGGACACCCAGCAAGCGTGCTTGTAGCAGTTCTGAAAAGGCTCTGAAAGAGACCCACTCTTCCAGCTTTCGCTGCGACTGTGCTGCGCGTTCCACGCAGACCCGGCTTTTTTTTAAAACGTGTCTTCCCCGCTCCCTTCTCTCGAAAGCCCCCTCGACCACTTCTGTCAATTGACTATATTTCAAATATTTGCTTATAATTTGCCGAAGCACGCACTCTGAATACCTTAAATGGAGTTTAATTCAAAAGGCAAGTTTATATAAAAAACAAATACGAGTCAACCCTAAAGCAAATCCGAGAAAACCATTGTGAAACACAGGGTGTGCAAAGGCGTGCACAAGAGGTATACGTCAGGACACCACAAAATGCGACTGGGGAACTCCCTTTATGTGTGCGTATTTGCACGCCATGTCATTTACAATGAATGCGTACCAACCAGCCCAGCTCACTCGCAGAAGAACGTGGTCTCTTGGAAGCCACTGCGAATGCAAGCTGTAAGTGCGCACGAATTACATTGAAACGTTGAACTTTGAAAAAACACGTGACATCACACCCAAATCGAAATAAAAGGTAGTAGACGATGATCGAATAATAGGCATTGCATGAGCCCGTCTCATTATACGTATATGCGACGGGACGTCACTGATGTATGAATTCCCGATGGCACAAATTTCGCATCGGCTTAAATCGACGTGTATAAAGTGCATGCCACAGGAAGCCTCATACAAATGAATTGGCCCGGTGATTTGAAAAAAAGTCGTTCCCTTAGTAAAAGAAGCCAACGGAACAAACCTCATTCAAATGAATTGGCCCGGTGATTTGAAAAAAGTCGTTCCCTTAGCAAAAGAAGCCAACGGAACAAACTTCGAAAATGGACTGGGCATCTTTCAGCTACGTCCCATGCTGTTTGCTGTCCTCTGATGGAAAGGCGAGAGTTGACTTGGAGGAGCTCAGTGAGCTGGAACGACTCTTGGAACTCTTGCGGATCGGCACCGGCAGCGGCTGCAACTCTAAGGTCTCGTTCATGATTTCAATGCTCGGTTTGCTGGACGTCGAAAGCCTGCGAGCTGGGATATTCACCAGCTCTGCGGGCGGCTTGCACGACATCGAATGCCTGCGAGTCGCCAACTTCTTGGACGGTTGCTCGGGAGGCAGCGCGAAAAACACCATCAATGTGCGAACAGCAACGCCGCCGAAATCGCCAGGCTTAGGTTTTCGCGGCCCACGTCTCTAAGCACGGACGTCGGGTGCGCGACAATGGCGCCCACGCGGCCGACACCCAACTCAATGCCGTGACTCGCACCGAAGTGGGGAACACCTTGACGACATACACGGCGTGCACGACGATCGCGAAGAAGGCAACAGACTTGGCCGCAGCTAATATGGCCGACAGAAAAGGAGCGAGACCGACTGCCGCAAGTATGGCGCTAGCACACACCAGCACAGCACTATCAGGGTCACGAGGCTGACGCTGAGGAGCTGCTTCATGGATACCGCTCGTGCTGGGAAGGTGTACAATAAAACGTAACTCAGCATCATGGTGCCGGACGACAGCCACAAGAGGTGTCTCACGCTCACAACAGCCGACGAGAGGATAAAAACTTGCGCGGCGAAAGTGATCACAGCGTGTGTCGCCAGCACAAAGAAGGCGCGTCACCGAATATCGGATCCAGGACCTTCTGGGCCTTCCGATGTGTCGGACGCGGTGTATCGCAGCGCTTCGTTCCTGGCGGCTTCGGCTCTCACGATGTTCATCAGGAAGTTAGTACTCAATGGCTCAAAGTTGTTAATCTTGGCCACGGACAGTATGACTGCGCCGGCTTCCTCCAGCTCCCGACTGGCGATGAGCCATCGCGGCGACTCCTGGACGATGGCAAACGCAACGGACGAGAAATAGAGTGGGTGACAACAGGACTATCTGCAGGAGAATCCAGCTGGCGCGCGCCGAAGCCAGGTGCACCGAGCTGAGCCGAAGCAGCTGAGACCACAAGTCGGACAGTAGGAACGGTATAATGAGGTGGCGATGCAGGTCTTCAGTACACCGTCGCAGAAGCTGGACCCTTCGAAGAGAATCACGAGGCTTACGACCACGTTGACCGCGCTGAAACCGGCAGCGAGGAACCTGGTCGAAAGGTACATGCTATAGGTGTCGGCGAAGCAGGACGCAAACGTCACAATAAGCAGCATGGTAATAGATACCCACAGGACAGGCTCGCGGCCACCACGATCGGCTACGTGTCCCACCACGACAAGGAAAAGCGGCGAGCTCGCGCTGTAAATTACGTTCGCCACATTGATAAGCCAGTGACTGCGACATACCAAGTTCCAGCGGCTAATTATGGTGGTGGGTGCACTCTTAGGATCGTAGTCCCAAGAGTCGCACTCGACCGTCGCGGTGTCGTTATACCATCCCCCAAGTTTGAGTACATCAGGCATCGGCTGTACCGGCCGTCGGCTTCTGGGGGGATGACCTCTCTCTTCCATTCGGTGGCGGATATGTTCAGTCCAGGTGGCTTCCGGCACCAGTGATCCACGTCTGGAGAGATCAGTGTGAACGCGACTGTGTGACAGTGCACGACGAATGCGCAGAGAATGGCTACGAGCAACAGTCTTCGCTGGAAACTTCCATTGCCGAAAACGTCCTGGCAATCGAAGCAGTCAGCGGTTTTCAAGTCGAGTGCTCCGAGACGCCGACTCGAGTAGAGTTCCATAGCGTCCCGTGCCGGCAATCTGCCGGTTCTTCTTCTGCCTTTTCCTCATTCGTATGACACGTGGCAAGAGCACATGGATGAAAGAGTATTCTTGTTCGCCTTGTGGTTCACACCTATAGTGAACGTGAGTTTTGACATAGAAACCAACTCGCCCAACAGCCAACTCTTTTGAACTGAACTGATGGCGTATAGAACTACACTCACACCCTAAGAGTACTCGTTCCTCCATGCAACAGCGCGAAAGCGTGGTATCATGGTAATCACCTACATTACCTTCCTCCTGAAACTTTCACATTTGCTGTGTGTATATATAAAATCAGACACACACACGAACGTACATAAGAAAAAAAATTAGCCCCCCCCCCCCCCGCAAAAAAAAAAAAAGTGGCTACGCCTATGAAACAACCATTTTCAACTTCAGAAGTGGCGCCAATTTCGTCCTAAAACTAGTGATCAATAAACGTCGCAAATTTTGTAACGTCTTAATTTTTTTGTCACAATAGAAGTTTTTAACTCGTGATAACTAGGTATCTTTTTTGTGTAAAAAGCAGCACACACCATTCAATTATGAATGACGTCATGGCGTGGCAGTAAAGCGGTAATTTCAAAGAACGCGTTACGTAGCTTTCGTCTTTGTGTCTTTTCTGACTTATCAAGCCTTCCCAACAGTGTGAGCGACTTTGAGCTAAGGCAAAATTTCATTTTGCTAGAGCATCGATGTGTACTGTTATTTTTATTGGGTTGTTTCGATTTACTTGGAATCATAGCGACTAGGGAAACCACGGCGTGAGCAGTGCGCGTTTCCAAACGGTAAGCGTGGGAGCTAGGACGTCGTGATTGTCCAGCGTACTTCATACCTAAATCCCCAAGCCAGACGCCGTTGTACCTATCATCAAAGAAACTGGTAGGTGTTCTGTGACCCCGCCACAGAACACCTACACCCGCCCCTTCTCTTAACACTGTGCCGTAGTATTCATGGTATCATTCAGCGCGCGATTTAATGTATTGCCGCGCACTGTTGCCTTTTTTTTACTTTTACGTTATTCTGAAGCATCGCCGCCGTAGGTTTAAAGTCAAGGTGCTCCTGAGCGCTCCACGATCTCTGACCTTATGCACAGTCGTTTTCCTGCGCCGCTCGATTATACAGAATGATACCTGGTGATCCCAAAACCGCTGCACCCGCTCTAATATTTCGCCTCCCAATACCCTGAAGCTAGTATTTTCTTCCAAAATCCGCTAATGCCCGACTTACCAGCGGCTACCTTTTTAAAGTCCCTAGATAAACAAGAACTATCTAGGGACCTTGCACTGCAACATCCCCAATCTGCAGCCTGTTTGGTGGCTAGCTAGCTACAGTATTTTCTTACTCCATGGCTAGCTAGCCATGGAGTAAGCTTGAACAGTTTCTGTGCACCGCTAGCTGTCGAAGAGCACCTACGTTTGACTGAAGCTCAGGTCAGAATCATTAGTGCTCGAAATGAGGCCCAGAAATTCTCGTGCATGCGAAAGGTGAAGTGCAACCGTTCCGCGTGGTTCGGGGTAAGATTTGTTCGCCGGACACGTGTACCCTGTGCAGCCTGTGTGCAGCGAAAGGGAAATGGTGACATCTCTCGAGTGAGGAGCGTTCACGCTTATTGTGGTGCTCGTACGTACGTGTGCCCGTGCCAGCATTGCTGCGCCAACCTATGCTAGCACCTTCAGTGTCGTTTTTTTTTCTCTCTTTTCATCTGCATGCAAAACTTTATCTATTTTTCAATTCTGCTCTTTGAAAGGTGCATTTCTGAGACAACGAAAAGAAATGGAGTCGTATACAATGTCAACATCACAGTCTGTCATTCCGAATTTGCACGTGTTCCGTGAGATGTGTCAATTTTCATTGTCTAATGCGTTCTGCGGACCAGATAGATTCCCGTTCATCGCTTGTCTACCTCATACTACCCATTCGAGCCGGCACGTCGCCGATCGACATAATTAATCTGTGAGGTAGAAACAATTTCTCTATTCAGCAAACAAAAAGATTAAAAAAAAATGAATATACAGATAAGTTTGAAGATGTAGACGAAGTGCTCAATTTTAATGTGCGTCTGCTTCTCAAGCTTACCTAAATATATTTAGGGAAGACATATTGTTACAGGGGTACACACTGTGTGTGTGTGGGGGGAAGGGTGGGAAAGGAGGGCCTCCCTTCTTCCCACCCCCCCATTGTAACCGAAAAAAGGGTGCAAAGCTAGCCCAATACACTGACACAATAGGGAGGGGGCACTGTGCAAGGAACCTTTAGCCCCCTTGAAGGGGAACCCTGTGAATGTCTATATATGGTGCTAGCAACTGTAGAAATCACTTACAGTGTATGTTTTATGACTCAGAGCAAAAGTGTTGCTTGAAATGTTTTTTTTTTTTTTGGAGGGGGTTGGGTGCACCTCCTGGATATTGGGAGGGGCACCCCTTCATTACGAACAAACTTTATTTAATTAGCAGGAAGATCCTTCTCCTCTTTCAGGCACGGGGGGGGGGAGATCAAACGTAGACGACATCTATGATCCCGTAGGCCTTGGCGGCGTCTTCAGCCTGCCGTATTAGGCGGGCTTGTAATTGCGAGTCTGAGCTGTAATGCGCGGTATTCCATCCACTCCTCGTCTTGGAATTTGCCTCTCATGGGGGCCTGTGGGCATGCCCACAGAATGTGGCTCAAGTCTGCCCTGTTATTATGAAATTTACACTTTTACGAATGAAGTTCTGGCACAAAATGGTCATTTTTCGCTCTCTGTGTCATGGTGAAAAAAATTTTAGAGGGGGTGGTGGGGGGAGCACGGGCCGGGTGGCCCACCCCCTGGCTACACCCCTGACTCAGAGCATTGATATCTTCAATTCGTACGCTTTGAAGTGACAGCATTGCATACAATATAAGGTGTTTGTTCCAGTGCAGAAAAACAAAACTCTAGTCAGCACATCGAGGATTGGATTGGATTGGATAAACTTTTATTTAGTCCTCCAAAACAAAGATCACTGTGTTGCGGGCAGCTCCCACGTGGGGACTGAGATGCCAAGCTCCTCAGCCACCTCGCGGGCTTGGTGGCGAAACCGTGGAGTGTAATCAGGGGAAGGTAGACTGTAGGTGAAAAAAAATCAGATGTCCACGTGGTTTTTGTCTTGTTTGTCATTTACTTCTTGAAGGGCACTTCACCAGGTCACATGAGCAATTTTAGTCATACACTGGAAGTTGTTGCGTGCCACAGCTTTGTATCACAAGAATGATTTAATTGGTTCAGTACGAGCCGCAAAAGCATGAAGCGAGGGGGTGAGCTTTAAACCTTTGCCACTCGTCTTGTGTAGACTTCGCATGGCAAATTCCTTCGCTGCCCTCTTCGGTAACAGAGCAACTCGGAGTCGGAAGATCACACGATGCAGACGCATCAACACGTCGCACGCGCATGGTGACTTTCGCATGACATGCCGAAGTCGTTTCAGCGGTCTCTGTATTGTATATACTGCCTGTTTCTATGGATCCCTCTATACGCGCGCGTTTGGAGACGCTGGCATGTATAATGTATCCTTACCACGATATACAGCATTGCATAGTTACAATTGTTCTAAGAAACTATGCACAAGAAACAATTAAGCCAAGTATTGTCAGGGCTGGCAACGTGGCACAACGCGAGAATGGCGAGAACACCAGCACAAATGAAATGAAGGTTGCTTAGTCTCGCTTCTTGCTGGATACGAAGTTTAAAGAAAAAAACGCACGAAGATTTCGTTTGTACATTTTAGTATATTTATCAACCTTCACAAAGCAAAAGATTGCACAAATTGCACATATCGCGTTTCGAACAATGCTCTCAGTGTCACATACTCCTATGACATACAAAGGACCATTCCTTATATTTAGATCACTGGGGCCTGTTAGATGAAGGGGAAGCAGCATTCAGTCTGACATTTCACCTCCTTCCGGGGCGCACAGCCATGAAAATCTTTGCAGACGTGATTGTGAGCACCCAGTGCATGCACTTCTGTTACCTGATCTCAGTGCTCAAATGTGGTAAGGGGCCCTTCAAGGTGTTCGCAGACAAAGGAAAAATTCACCCTGTGCGGTTAGAGCCAGTTAATACGTGGCTAAAAGACCCTTCAGGCCTATTAGCAGTCTGGCTATTCGCACCACGCAGAGGCGGTGTCGCTCCTGTGGTGCCCTTCTCAACCATGTCAAAGAAAGGCCCAGGAGGGCGTTTATTCGTTGGTGGGCACTTAACTCGCCATGCTGGACAATAAAAGGAGAGACCATATTCAGCAAACGCTGCTGAAAAAAAAAAATTGCATAGCTATGCTAAATCGTTGTACCATCATAAGCTAAAGCATTTCTTTTTGCTTTCTTGTCATAGACAGAGGTCTCGCACGTATTTCTTTGAAAATTTGATTTTTCGTACAAATTTATTCTATAATTACAATTTTGATGGCCTAATACTGCACTCTGCCTGCCGATTTTTGGTGCCTAAAACCCGATTTTTTAGTGCCTATAAATCTGGCCTATAGTTATAACAGAATGATTCAGCTGATTGTTTCTTCAATCCCCTTATCAGCTTACTTGTAATAAACTGGGCTTTGTGTGAAGTGCTTATCATAACTAGGAACGTACATGCATCTATGTTTCAAGGAGTGAAGGTAGAATGCAAATTTGATGGAAAATCACCAGTTTATTATGCTAAGTAGGATTAATAATAAGAACAAAAATAACGCTATGCTTGCTATACAGTTGCTAGGGAAATGTAAATGTAAAAGGCGATAGAAAGTGTTACTGGTTTCAATAATTGAAGCAAAACATGTACATGCATTGTACTGGGATCCTGTAGTCACTTGCTCACCTTCAGGGACCATTGAAACCAAAAGCCATTAAAAGCTGCGCGTCTAACTATCCTCTTTTACAATTATTTTTAATGACATCCCATACTTTCCTTGGCATGATTGTTTGTTAGATATCATTGTTATTGTGTCTAACAAGGAAAATGAGGCCTTAAATGTACACTTCTTTCCTTCATGCATAGCAAGAGTCTTGTACTGGCAGACTTGGTGCCTTCAGGTGGTATACGAGGGATTATTGGTAATCTGCCAGCTTTTAATATGTTTATGTACTACGTGACGCCAAACAGGCAGATGAAGAGTGCTCCACACTCGCTGTCATGGCTACTATTGGTGCTGACTGATGCTCTCATGTTTAAAGCACACATATACCCAATGAAGTGGTCGAAGGGATAGCCTTCGTGGTAGCTCAGTTAATAGAGCATCGGACGTGTTATTCGAAAGACGCAGGTTCGATCTCTGCCCACGGGAAGTAATCTTTTTGCCCTCTTTTCCTTCTTCACATTTACATTACAATTATTTCTAATAACATCTCCTGTACTTTTCTTGGTGTGATCATCTGTTATAATTTAATAATATTGTGTCTAACGAATAAAATGAGCTCCTAGATGGACACTTCTTTCCTTCATCCATTTTGTGAAAGCCTAAGGAATGTCGCCAATGCAGTCGATCACTTTTGGTTTCAATGAGCATTGAAAATGTTGCAGTATAAAAGATGCAGTATTCATGCAAGCATTAATGAGAGATGCTGCAATTTCTTGTGGATGCAACAGCATAAGAAATATAATTTCAGAGAGAGAAAAAGGTTGCAGCTGCACATTTTTAAGTTTATTTCAAACATGAGTTTAGGCATCGATTGACAGTGGAGTCTCTGTGGCATTCCAAGACTACTAGTGGACCTTTTCACTCTCTTCTAAATTTTCCATCTCGCCTAAGTGGGAATTTATACGCATATCAAGATAACAAGTACCCAGATACCTGTTGCATTCTCGGATTTTATTGCCTTAGGGATTGAGAACCAGACTCCCGAATAAGCAGTGCTCTTGGTTGTGTAGAAGCTTCGTAAACTCTGATCATCTAGATAATGCAATTAGAACTGTACTTCTTGTTTTGGCTTTTACCTCCTCAGGAGAAAAAAAAAAGAGTGATGCGAGTATAACCAATCAAGCAATGTTTACAGCGTTTAATTTATAGCATTTGTCCGAACTAGTCTTAGTTCCTGCGTGTCGCAGAACTGCGTATTGAAAGTTCAATTTATTAACACAGGTTCAGTGAACGGCTGATGGTGATGTGAGGAGCTTGTGTGACCACGGAGCAGAAAGGTCTTATGGCAGTGAAAGAAAACCTGGTGATGCCACAATGGATGCAAGCTCAGGGTAGACTGAGGTAGACTTGAGATGTCTGTGTACACCATGTACAGCCTATTTGTATCCAGCTGAGAAGGCCAGTATATAGAGGTGGGTGTAAAAAATATCCAAATTTTCAATCGGAGGCAACCAGAGCAAAGTGAGAATCGGGCTGTCAGCTGCCAATGGTGGCTTCTCTGATATAACATCAGAGACATGTTTACTAGTAATGGTTTATTACTAATGTGTTACTGCTAATCAGTTCAAGTACCTTCCAGCAGTAACTCGTCGCTTTTTTCTTTGAGCAACTTGAAACTGTAACAGAGGTCTATCTAACCCAATGAAGGTAACTCTATAAAGGCATGCCATGCATAAATGTGTCTCACAAATAATGATGGCTTTTTATTAAAGAAGAAATAAAGGGGTTGGATGTGGATAATGCTGACTTGTACATTTAACACAGAGAGATAATGATATCTCTTTGCCATGAATCAAAATCAAAATTTAAATGTATCGTTGCGGGTAACACGGGAATAGCAATGACTATATGCACATGTATTTACAAGTGCATAAGCATGTTGCACCGTTCATAAAGAACAGCTCACACTTGTCGTTTGCATCGTCATTTGCGTTGTCATCCTAATACATAAATGAAGTGCCTGTTGTTAACTGCTGCTGTTACATAGAAATATTTCTTGTGCTTGTGACTTATTAATTAATGCTTTTGAAGTCACAAACAGGTAACTATGCTACAATACTTCACCGGCAGTGACTCTAATGAGTTAATTTTTCAAAACTTGTAGTGGTAATAGAGTTGTTTCTCTTCTTGAGATAGCTTCAACTGCATAATGTGCCTATGACTTATTAAAGCTTGTGGGGCTGGTTTTGGGCATTGCCGCTGTCTGTTACAAGCACGTTTCCAAGCAGCTTGCATTCTCTACATTTGAATAATTCTCAAGGTTACTTATACTGCTACAAATCACTCGAGAAATTCCAGTGGGCAAAGTGTTGTGAAAGGCTGTTACTAGCTGTGTACTTCAAGATGTCTTCCTCGGCATACTAGGTAGATGAACTGGGGCTGCGGAAGACGCTAGCTAACCTATTGGTGCTTGAACAAGGTGAAGCCAATAGGCTATAGTTATTCCTGATTGCTAACAGAGAAACTGGCTAATAGCGCTGCTGCAAAAAGGCCTTGTAGTACGACAGAGGTTGCAGTTACATCATCAGTGCTGAACATGACAACAGAAACAATAGTTGCATATTGCCCCATACCATCGAAGTGTTAAACTATTCTATACAGGAAAAGCGCACAGGTTTAAAGCCCCACATGAATTGTAGAACTTATCCTTTTAACTAATTTAAAGGGACTAACAACCAGTCTTTGTGATACCTGCCTTCTTTAGTGCAACGTAAGAATCACTAATCACGGCGTCTAAACAATGAATGGTAATGTGGAAAATGCTGTGAAATATTTATGAGAATGTTTAGATCTGCCGGTGACTATGACATCATAAACATCCAAACCAAGATATAATAAAGTATTGCTTAGAACGAAGTAAATGAAAACTAGTCTTGCAATCCACATAATGTTGGGAATAAACATTGATAAAATTTTTTGGATATAATGAACTTATTTTCATGTAAGATAAAACTTTGTAATAATGAGGTCTGAGTGTGCACCCGACGCATGATGCAAACAGTGGAACACGAGCACCAGAATGCTTCCTGCTAGTGTGCGGTGGTTTGGTGTGCATGCATGTGTCAAGCCCTGCATGCTCTTTGCATGCATGGCTTGACATGTTCTACAAGTTGCCCTGAGGGCAGCGTAGCGTCTTTTGACAGTGTGGAGCTGCTTTTACTTTGTAAGCAGCATAGAATAAAATATGGATGGATAATAATATACATACTCTAATTCTGAGCACTAATTACGGTGCGCACGAAAGCAGCGGACTGTTCAAATAAAGTGTTTGGCTCAGTTATTCTGCCTCAAGGCTTTTCTGCCAGCCTCTGCGACAAACCAGTTTTCTGTAACTTTTAAACTCAATCTAAAAATATAAGCACAAGATAAAACTGATGACCACGTGAAATGGAGAAGACCTTGTCTTCATTTTCTGTATCCACATACTCAATTACAGAAAATGAAGACAAGGTCTGCCAATTCAGCTGCAGCCATTGTTGTCCTCTTGTCCACTTCATGGGGTATATCTGCGCATTTAAACCTGGGGCAGTTAGTCAGTGCCGCTTGTAGAAACAAAGGTGTGTGGGAACTACTTTCTTTTCTCGCCTGCTGGCATCATCCCAGCAGCTGAGATATTAACACGCCAAGTTTCTTGCATTGCTGAAAGCGAATTTGCTAAACTTTTGGTCATTTAAATCAACAAGAGCACATGGCATGTGGGCTTGCAATGACTGTGCTTAGTTGTACTACAAATTCCTGGGTACGTCTTAGCATTAGGACAATGCTGCATGGTTGCAGCGTTTCAGTTTTGCACTTTAGCAGGCAACCAGCCCCTGCAGTTGAATATAACTTCTGTTTGTGTTAACCATGCTTCATTTCTCCTTCCAGCAGCGAAATGACCGAGTGGAGCCAGTGCCACCTTTCAAGGTAATTGGTCGTGCAGCTGACATCTTTTGCAAGTCGTAGAGACCAGTAACATGTGTACCCCTGACGCACAGGCCTAACTTAATGTTTGTCACACTGGTACGAGTACTTCCCTATCTGCCCATGTATGGCATGTCGTTTTGTTCACTGTTAAGAATACTAGTATTATGTGCAGCTGTCGCTTCCCACTGGCTGGTACTCGAGCTGGAAGTTCTGGTTGAAGCTAGGTCAATGCAGTGCATGTGCACAGGAAGGTCTTGTAATTAAAAATTAAAAAAGCGGGTCTGATGTCCCGGAACAGGGTGGCGAGTGAAGTATGAAGTGTGACATGACGGCAGGCTTCGAATTAATTTTGACAAGTAAAAGTTCAGGATCCTTTCTCGGGTGCAACATTTGGAATTCACCAGATCATTGGTTTGATACCAACTACTGCAGCTGGGATTCAGTCCCTGTACAAGTTCTCATAAAGGGGACACCAAGGTGACGCCAAAGCTACTAAACAACAGCCGAGGGTAAAGAGTATTGCATCACCACTAACCACAACTCATGCATGCCCTGTTCTAACATGTTCAGTAGAGTAGCCAGAATATTTTTTTTCATTGGGGAAGGCAACCAAACATGTTTGTGCATGCATTTGCATGTGAGCTTATGTATACGTATATTCATGCAAAATTGAAAAATTTTGAAAAAAGGTTTAAACCCTGGCTGCACTACTGCTGTGCTTGTTTTAGAGTGTAAAAATACAATGCTTTCAAATTAAATGTACACTGACATTTGAGGCTCTTGTGGTAGTTTACGCAGGTTGGCAGCTGAGTTAGCCGAGCATTGCCCAGCCAAGTTGGGGAGGACGTGCCACATTGTAAAAAACCTGCCTTTCGCAAATGCCCTGCTCAACAAATTGAATGTTGAAGTGGAAGAGTTCACTCCTGGCAAGCTCTCTCTCTGTCAGGCACAGCCCATTGGCAGCAGGATAAAAGATTCCGAAGATGTACATGCAGAAGAAGGTATAGCGTTCCTCTACACCTTGCTTCAGAAACATGGCTGCATAGACGCTGTTGAGGTGAGTGCAAAGTATTATGTACGCAGCAAGTTTCAGTGTAGAAAACTTCAATCTTCTTTGTGGTGAACCTGTAAATGCCGTGCTACAATCTTATCTTCATGCTAGAATATATAACTTCTAGTATATCTAGTCGGAAGAAACACGGGGTCTAAAGGGCTCAGTTTTTGTTTGTTAGTATAGCCATCTTGAAGCAAACAGACAGTGAAGCCAAGGAATCAATACAAAGATTATGAAATTTAACTTCATTCACCACTACTGGGTATGAAAAGCTTGTGTAGCTATGAGCCGGTGTGCCGCCTACTATTTCATTGCACAAAATTCATATTTAAAAATCCAATTTGTATACTGCCTTCCATCTTTGATCAAACTTGAAATTTTTTCATTACTCTAATTTGATGCATCATGCAAGTTTGGCATATTGATTTCATCCCCACAGTGAATTGTGCTTAAAACAAGACGACGAAGTGTGCTCTAATTATGACTATGTGCTCACCGTTTGTGAACACATAGTCATAATATAGTTTACTTGTTCGATACTCATTCAAGTGACAACTTAACTTGAGACCTTTCATTTGTTCATTCACGATTCATGATTGTGTACTATGTATATAGTAAGTCAGCTTTAACTTTAACTCTTCAATGTTGTCAACGATTGAGATAGCCCTCCTTTGGCTACTTATTTCGTGCTTGATGCTAGCTTTACTTAGAGTTGTCTACTTGTTGACAGCTTTCTGAGGAAACAAAAGGAATGCATCAAAGATGAAGTTTTGGCACGTGTTATTATGGAGCAGTGTTCTACAGCATTCCTGATAATTTTAATCTATACAAATAGCACAGTCAGTCTAGTTTCTGTGTGTGACAACTTCTCAATCGCTCAAATGTTGTATAAAATGCAGGGAATGAGTTAATATTTAGCATTTTTATTAGACTACGTTTTTGTGTGAAATACATTAAATGCTCGTTAATTCGCATTTCACGGGACCAGAAAAAATACCTGAACTGACTAAATTATGAACTTCTGAAAGTATCAAGAAAACATGACGATTATGTCTATTACATTAAAACATTATCATTTCCCTAAATGGTATGTAAATTTTGTACTTGTATTGTATACGAGCAATGCAAAGGCCACAATTTTTGTCACCTGCAACTTTTTTTGCCAATGCAACTGAGGCGCAACATCCCCACATCTCAGTCAGCCCAAAATGTACCCTGGACCCTTTCCCAAATACTATCGTCACCGCCATTGTCATGCATATGGGACGATAATTATTTTGCTGGTAAATGAAAGAAATTTGCATCAGCCACTGAAGCCTTGATTGCCAACAATGTGATTGTGGATGATAACTGCACCTTTTCGAACACCCTGGCCAACCACGTGTCACACACGGTAGTAAACGCAAATAAGGATGAAGTTTTCTGGCTTCCCTGTCATTACCATGTGGTTTGCAGTGATGACTAGTGCGATGCAGACTGCACAGCGTCATCTTGGTTGTTCTTTATCTTTTTTTCACTCTTTTGCACGGCAAATTTGCGTCGCTCAGTGCTTGTCGTACTCCGAGGATCATACAAATGAACCGCGTTGTGGCCAATTATGACCAAACTAATGAAAGTTTTGATTTGATTGAACATGGTATATGCTAGCCAGGAGCAGAGAACACTTCCAAATAATCCAATTTTTCAGTTAATTGAAGATTGAATAAAGGAGCTTTTACTGTAAGACATGTTTACTCATCCCCTGTTTGAAACAAATTAGAATATCTGGGACTTAATGTGTGTGTGGGCTTATAACAGCTCTCCTTCTTTGGCCTTCAAAGGTGCACACGAGCTTAGCAATATTTCAAGTTCTTCTCGGTCTAGTACATCGAAACACGATACGACAGCTTTTCGCTGGTCTTGCTAACAGTGCATATGTTCTAAGCTTGCCGCCTTTTACCGCAGTTCAAGCCTCACTTAAGGCAGGAGCCGGTGCAGCTAATCACCAATGCCCTGTTTGAAAACAAATTCCTGACCTGCCTGCGGGTGCACCATGCATACCTGAGCGAACAGGCCACGATGTCCCTGTTTGCTGCCGTGTGCCAGTTATTGAACGAGCGGCTGCGTGAGCTGTCCCTGGAGAAACTCGATATTTCGTGCTTGCCGCAGACTCTAGACGGCTTCAGAGAAGCACTTGCCAGGACAAAGAGCCTCAAGAGATTGACCCTCTTGAACATCCATGTAAGTTCCGAGCTGAAGCTGCTGAGCATGCTGTGGAAGTAGGCCAAGTTCGTTACACATTATCGGTGTATTCTGGCAGTTATCATAAAGGTGGTCGAAAAATTATTTGTGCCATGCTGTTGGATTTGGCTTACTAGAGCTTCAGGAAAAAAAATTGCTATTGTCCAGCATAATCTCCCCATCTGTGAAACTCATTTATGCTCGTTTAGTGTCCGTCTCGGTGGATCAGTAACTAGGGCGCTCAGCTGCTGACTCAAAGGTCGTGAGTTCGATTCCGGCCACAATGGTCGCATTTTGATGGAGGTGAAATGATGGAGTCCTGTGTACTGTGCAATGTCAGTGCACGAGAACTCCAGGTTGTCGAAATTTCTGAAGCCCTCATCTACAGCGCCTTTCATGCTGATATTGTGGTTTTGGGGTGCAAAACCCCTATTATATAAGTATTTTTTATTTATTATGCTCGTTTCACAGAATCTAATAAATAAGTTTATGCATGTTTAGTGCTCTAATCTGACATCGCAATGTGGGCGCTATGGCTGGGATTTGATTCCGTGGCCTTCGAGTCTGCAATTGAGCATCGTAACCAGTAGACTGCCATGGCAGGTAACGTGACAGGATGAATGGTTATCCAATCACTCCCTCACTTACTTTTGTGCATGGGTTCCCCAAATTTTGCATGAAGGGTGCATCCTCTTTAGACAAGAATTTTATCAATATGCTACAATGTGAAAACTTCTCAAGAGAAAGCCGGTTTACAAACTGGTGCCATCAAGGGACTGTTTTAGCAAAAGAACCAAGCTAGAAAAAGTGAACTGCACTATTACCATGCTAACAGAGCTAAGGTGACGCTGCTAGCATATACGCTTTCCCTATTTGTGCATGTGTGGCTTCCGCTCTCAATGCGCAGCGTCTTCAAAAGATGGGAAGTGCAGCCTTCTTGTTTAAAATTTTGATTGGTTTCCTGCTATGAACCAATTTTGTACTATAGTATGTAAGCATGATTACCACCGAGTGACTTATGAACCACACTTGTTTGTATACAGTGCCCTCCACTATCCACTAAGGTCAACTCTTGACCTTCATGTTCAAGCATGCACAGTTCCTATTGAATGCCTTCTTATATAAAGATTAAAATCTGCATATGAAAAAGCATTACTTACAGTGGTTGAATGAACGATAGTCTATTTCCGCTCAATCTTGCTGTAGCACTGCTCATATCTTCAATTTACGCCTAAAAACTATCACAGTGAGAACCTGATGTTCGATTGTTTAATACAGTGCAATGGTGCCACTGGTGCAAGGGTTTGTATACCTGTCTATTCTGGGGAACCGTGGTGTTTTGAGATCATGCGTAACCTTAGAATTTCTGCCGACTCACTGAGCCTCCCTGCTACAGGAACGGGCACACGCGTGGATGAATACCTTGAACGTGGGCCTGGCGGGTCTACGGGCCAACAGCACCGTCACCAGCCTGAAAATGGACACTAGTTACCAGCACTACTATGAGGGGACTAAAGTGCTGAACGACTTTCTCGCCAACACGGTGTCCCTTGCCGAGCTCCACATCTACTGCAGTTCCGACTGCAGCTCTGACCGCTCCCTGGACTTGATCTTCGAGGCTCTGGCTAGCAACCGAACCGTGAATAGGCTCACCCTCCGCAAATTCTCTGTGAAGGATATGAAGCCGTTCAGGCAGCTCTTGGATGTCAACAAAGTCCTGGAAGACGTGAGCTTCTACGCCTCTCCCCATGCTGGGATGGAGAAAACACCTGCCGCTTGCCAGGTCAGTCTGAGTTGTTTAATTCACAACACTCAAACCTCATAATAACGAAGTTGCACCTTGCATGAAATCAAGTTCGTTATATCCACAAATTTGTTATGAAAGTATATTTATAACGTTATGCCCATTGCAAGAGTATCCTCCTCTTACTTCATTATTACAAATATTTTGTTATTATGTCAGCCGCTCGACATAAACCTCTTCCAGTGCTCTGGTCATTTCATTGACATCTGCTGTGGCTGATTTTGTTCTGCATATTCATGCATTCTTAAATTTCATCACCCCACTGGATAACATATACATCATTGACTACTTGTCTTCGCTTGGCACCCTATTTTGATTAGTCCTGGGTCTATAAGTTTTTAAATTCAGAGTTTAGAACTTGCATTCGTGACCCACCTATGTATTAAATGACCTTGCGTATAAATGGCACGTACTAATTATTTCCTTTTTTAAATTAATGTCAGCTTAGAATATTCGCTATCTTTGTCCTTTCTGTCATTCAAACTGTTGCCTTTCACCTCGTCATATTCTACCTATAATTTCATTGTTGAAATACGTACGGCCTGCTTTTTGACTCCTTTTCAAGCTTTTTCGGTAACTGTAGAGTTTGTGCCCTGTATAGTCTGTGGAATGCAATGCAATGATATAATGCTTTTTTTTTGTCTGGCACACGCAAAACATATCTTGATTAGATGCTCTGATGAATGCAGTTCAGAGATTTTGCAACATATCTTTTGGTTGCAGACTTATATGTTCATGTTCACAATTTTATTAAAGGGCCAGTAAACAAGCTTCGACATTTTCTTTTACAACCCCCATACAAGCTTGGCAATTTGTAGATTAGATCGCAGTAATCACGTTTTCTGAATATTACAGCGCTGCGTGCCATGCAGAGCCTCTATTTTAAAAAACGATTCCCATGCATCTTTCCTACGCCTGACCGACCCCTTGCACGCGCAGTGACGTCAACTCGGTGATCGGCGACGGGACGAAGCATGCAGCTCACCGATTGGTCTAAATCAGGTGTGAAAAAACAGTAGTGAAGTCGACGTCGGTTCTGGTTTTCACCCACAGCTACAACACTGCCCCTTGTTTCTTGACACTGCAGTGAAAGAACGAGCCTCGCAGTTGTCGCGTGCACGTGTACGCTCCTCGCTCAACTACAGCACTTGTGCGCACATACGAACGTATTCGCCCTTGACATGAGAAACATGGGTAAAAAGCGTTGCTTTGTCGTCGGCTGCAAATCGAGTGACTGGGTAGTGAAGAAGCATCGGCACCAGGTGCCTCACGATGGGGCCCTGTGCGCTGCATGCTGAAGCGAATTGGCCATCCAGCGACGTACCTTGGGGAATCAATGGTTTGTGATCTACACTTCGCACCTGACGCTTACACGGTTGACCCGCGGCTGGTGCGGCAAACCGTAAACAAACTACCACGCTTCGCCGCAAGCGGAAGTGCGTTGCGACTGATAGAGTTTGCCAATGACGTCGGTCGCTGACGTGGTGTCATGTTGCCGAAGTGGGCGGAGTCACGACAATAGCTACACCTTCCTCTTCATGCCAGGTAGAAAAGAGGCGAGGCCGCGCGACAATTTGAAACCAGCTTAGACCGATGTTCTAACCCCTGTAACTTCCTTAATATAGCATGCATTTGCAAAATTCTTGTGGCAGCATGTTCGCAAAGAAAAACTGCACATATATCTCTAAAAAAAACTTTTGGACCTCAGGGCTGTTTACTGGCCCTTTAAAGTACAAATGTTGAAAGAGTGGCATCAAGAAGAGAAGCTTTCACAAAAATGAATGCATCATTTGCAGTAAAAGCAGGGCTAATTAAGATTGATGACTGGTAGTGCCACTGTCTGTTTCATACTCTACAGTACTGCTTGTGTGACAGACAATGGCTGGCTCATAAGGACAGGCATGATTATATAAGGGTTACGTCGACTTACATTCTAACGTGTGGTTCAAATGGAGAAATCTTCATTTGAGAATCCTCCATGCAACGAATTTGCACACATACTTATCTAGCATTAAAAAAGAAGAATGGTCGGCTTCTGGATGAGCGATGTATTAATCTAACTTTTCTTCATATTTTTAGTGCCCTTTTATTGGGCCAAACAAACCGAATAAGTGAGTTCTGTACAAATTTTTATTCACAACTTCTCTCATAACTTCTCACTATTTCATCTGTCTATGCAGTAAACTACGGTATGTCACTTTTTTTGTTTGTGCATGACAACTCTACTCCTTCCACTACAAATCTAGAAAGCAATCTTTTGTACATGTTTGACGTTTAATATAAGCTGATGTCGATTTCTTTTTCCCCATTTGCTCTTGCATCCTCATAGCAACGAACATGCATAGTGTCAGCTTGTTCTCTTTCGCATGCACTTGTCTATTGGTTAGTGTGAGTCTCAAGCCGGTGGCCAAACATGCCTCGGGACCTTAACTGCTGTCACATTACACTTGCGCTGGTAGTAGGAAGATAAATGTGGGTTGCATGCTGCTGCTTGCCGATCGGAGGCGCCGATGCCCAATACATCATTGGGGCTGCTTTTTCACTGCGATCGCTTGTCAATTTTGGTTTAATCACATTCAACCATGGAATTTTTTTGTGTGGGATAGTCATTGTTACTGTTCAATGTGCCGCACAGTCTCAACAAAAAGAAACGAGTTTAGCTTCACAGTCTCGCTGATCACATGCACAACTTACTGGATGAATGACCTTCTCTGCCTTAGGTGCCCGAGCAGCACGTGCAGACCATAGTCCAGGCACTGGAGAGGAGAACGAGCCTGCGCCGCTTGGCCCTTGATTGGAATTGCACGCCAAGTGCAGTTTATCGGCTTCTGGCAGCGTCTTCCGGCTCCCCCTCACTCAGAGAGCTGCACCTGGGTGACGTCATTGTTGACTACATTGATGCTTTGCGTTGGGCATTCATTAATGTGCGGACAGACGTCACTGTGACCGCAGCAAGGTGAGACCCAGATGAAAAGCAGGGAGGCATCTGAGAGCGACTGTGTGTGCACTGTATTCTGAGTTGCATAGGCATTTTTACATCAAGCTAACAGGCCATTTTCTGGAGAATCCTGATTGTGGGCCGGCAGGAATGTACTGAAAGTAAAAACATGTGGCTATACACTGGACAATTCATGTGTTATTGTGTACTAAACCTTATAAATGCCCACCTACTCATGGCTCATCACAGTGTATGGAGATTCTGCAACAGTATGCAGAATTCAGTAAACATTGTCTTCTAGTTTGATTTTGTACTTTATGCCGTTTATGCAATGGTTGTCTGCTGATATCTGACTTTTTTCATGCCAGTTTGGAACAACCACTAGTCATAAATGAATCCAGCTGCACTGTCGTAGAAATTGGGTGCAAAATCAACCATTGATTTTTTTTTTTCTTAACTGACTACTTATTGGTCTCAATAGATTTGTGCATCTAGGTATGCACTTCTTTTAAATATGATAGTCTTTCTTGGGATACTTCAACACAGAAATTTTAGGCTGTCTGTCTGTCTGCTGGTCCTGATGTCCAATGATTCAGCCACTCGGCCAAAGTTTAAGCTCGTGCTCAATGCCCACCCATCTTGTCCTGGTAGGTACATTCACACTTGTTAACATTGTCAATAAAGAAGCAAATACAGTCAAACCTGCTTATAACAAACCTCCATATAACAAATGCCTCGATATGACGAAGATTTTCTATTCCCCGTCGTTGCTCCGTAGAAGCACATGTATTTGCGACCTCTATATAACAAAGCAACAGTAGAAGGAAACCTTGACATAAGAATTTTCCCCGCGGACAATCTAGGAATTTTGCCCCGGATTTTGGCATTTTGGTACGAGCATGCGAATTCAGCGGGAAGCGGTGGCGGTGCGTACGAGTGCTCATTATTGCGAGGGGTGAGCAAGATGCGGCAGGCGGGCCTGCGCCCCACAAGTCGACGTTGCCGCCATTTTTGCCACCACGGAAGCATGCATGGTTGTGCCCGCCCCCCCCACCCCCCCATAAACAAAAAAATTTCCCACCTCCTCGAAGGAAATCGTGAGGAAATTCAAATGCATTGCGTGGCATCCATAATGTCGTTTCACACGTGAGAACCCAGCATCAGAAGAATAATGTTTTTTTTTCTTTCTTACACCGTGCACCCAATAATGCCATTCGCCGCACGTGGCGTTTTTCTGTTGCGAGATACGGGCTGTGCATTTCGAGCTCTAGTAGCTAGCATGCACGGTTAAAAGATAAAACGCTCACTCGAGACATCAACGCGCTCGAAAGTCTCCCTTTTGAGGGCCTCTTTCAACTAACCCTTCCTATATGCGTTCGTAATCACATCAGAGATGTTGCCATCGCCTTCAATGCAGCACAAACGCATTAAGAAGGTGCTGCCCTCAGGCTGTGCCATGGCAGCACAAACGCTACAGATGCGTTTCAAACACACTCCCTTGAGGCAGTGGCTAGTCACGTTCAAGTCAAGGAGGTGGGGGCTTCTGTTATTAGGGGTGAGGATAAACGTGCGTGCCCGCAGTTGTTGCTGATAGCTGCCCAAGCCGAAGGGTGACATGGTAGCGGCTCTGGTTGCCAGGGACGCGCGCGCCCGCAGCTGTTGCTATGGGAGAGGGCGGTGGACGGATCCCGACAGACGCCTGACATAGCCTGACGAAAATTCATTCGCATTTAAAAAACCAACCAAACACTTTTGCTTTGGCCGTGGCACGCATATGGAGGGCACTTTACCGAACAGTTTGCTGTAACCGTGTCTGTGTCTATGTCGTTCACTCTTCATTTTCGAGGTTGTGTGCGCGTGCATGGTTTTACTGCGCACGCATGATGTGGTCCCCGACGATGTTCTGCTTTGCTTTTTCTTTAACGTGGACAACTGTGTTGTCGCTACCAAGGGGATGTCAGATAAGACGCTGATGGAAACTCTCTGAGATCACTGTGACGATGCAACTTCGGAAGTCGACTCATCATGAGCTTCCCTCTTGCGCCGCACCGCGAGTTTACAGACTTGCAACTTTGGCAATTAGCCGATTAGTTCTGGTGACAACACGACGGCACGTTGAATTCCATGCCATGAATGCGACAGCAAACAAATTGACAGCCTTGCCGCGAAGGCGAAGCAATGAATGCGTAGCAACATATTGGACGGTCACGTGAAGAATGGCAGGCAGATCGAAACATGCCCCGCGTTTTTCATGCAAAAATGACGTAGGATACGTACTCACAGGTATAGATGAACCTGAATAAGCATCTCAGTTGTTACTTTGCTGTCTGAAAAGCATCCCCTTTTCGCAAACGGAGATTGTGCAGCAAGTGCAGTGACCTTTGAGCACCACCTAACTACAACAGAATTGTTCTGGCGAAAGCCCAAGGCGTACGATTTTTCCCACGCGAGATGAGCGCATGCATGAACGTTCACCCCCCCCCCCCCCCCTCCAGCTTTCTGTGGAGCAAAGTACGCATGGGAGATGAGAGACAATTTCGTGATGTGCACTCATTGCGCCATCTCGCTGGTAATGCTGAAAGTGTGATGGTTCTGTCGAGGTGGCCATCGCCAGTGTAAGTGGTAGATACAAATAGCTTGCCGTTTCAGTGTTGAAAGAGGTGCTCCTTCATGGCTCAGTTGTTAATGCTTCGCACTTACAAGCAATGTGTCGGACGTTCGATTCTGCGCCGGAGTTTTTTTTCTGGATTATTTTTCTTTCTTGCGTTTTCATATATATAGATACGTATACATATACGGTGACTGACGTTGACGCCAGCGGCAAAGTCCAGCTGAGAGTGTCTATATAATTGCTATCACAATCAAGATTGTAATTTTATACGAAATAGGGCTGGCAGCCAACTCTTGGGTCCGATATTGTGGAAAACCTACAAAACACTAGTGTGAGCAAATGCGGCTGCTCCAGGGAGAAGTGCTCTTTTCACACAGTCCCTTCGCGTTGAAAGCGCACAGCTGATACTCGCCGAGACAGCGCGCACCCCAGCAATTGCAACCGCCCTTAAAAGCAAAGTTCACTGTTGCTGCTCGAGCGAGCACTTCCCCCCACCCCACCCCCTCGAGTTTTTTCATGCTTGTTCAAGACAGGTGGTTTCCTTTCTGTTTGAGCATTCGACGGCAGGTCTAACATGCCTGGGATGTTATCTTATGTGCCTTCCTGGCGATAGAGATAGGCCGACTCATTTGATCTGAGCTTCAGCAGTGCTCCTACGCCTATACCCATTCGAGAAAGTTACGATGCGCGGGGTTATTTTATCAATTTAGACTTGTTAGGGAACATGACAGTGACAGTGAAAATTCGCCGGGGTCCATGCAATTGCTGTCGCAATAATAATGCAGTTTTTTACTGCTCAATAAGAGTTTTGGGTTAGCTCTGCCTTCAGTCCCCCTTTTGTTTGATTTGTGCGTTTATTTTCTGAATTTGGGTACCAAACCTCCATATAACGAAATCCTCTTTATAACGAACTTTTCTGCAAATTTATCAATTTTGTTATATCCAGGTTTAACTGTATTTTGCATATTTGAGTCGCAACATCATTACACAAGTATTAGGTAGTATGCTTATTTAGAAAATGCATAGATACGTAGTTCAAAGGCCCGTAGTGTTTATTACACAGCGCTGACAATGCAACGCTATGAACAAAAAAGTGGGTATTTCCTATTGGCTTCACTAAAATGACACAGTTTTGCCATCTACCAGTAACTCTCCATTCTATAAAAACTTCCGTTTCTTCACATTACTGCCAGATAGTGCCATATCTCGTGCAGCTCTCGTTGATCTTCTTGCGAAGTACGTCAGATAAACATTTTATTTTCTCTCTCTAGACAGAAGACTATCATCTTTCGACGTCTTTTACAGGGAAGCTTGCAATTTCTCATTAACAAAACAAACCATGATTTCAAATTTATTCAACTTTGGATAAAATTGAACCATACGCATAGTGTATTGAAGCACTCCACACACAGATCTCACACTACTGTTACTAGATTGAGCAATGTGTGCAATAGCAAGTGCGAAAAAGGAACCCTACTTCAATGCGTGCTTTCACATGAAGCGTATGGATGGTGGCAATACAGTAGATCACAACATTGTTTTAATGACAGTAACAGTACCAGTATGCTATATGGTTTTTTAGTAGACTTTATTATTGTTCTTTTACTGTAGAAAAAGAAAACTTTCTGAAGCTGGACTCACAGCTCATCAGCCAAGAAATTCACACAAACCCTTCTCTAATGCTTGAACGTGCCTGCCTTAAGTAGTGGCTTTACTTTCTTCAAATCTATATTGCAATTTCAGCAGTACACTTAAAATTGTACAAATACACTCAAACCTCACTATTAAGTAACGGGATATAACAAAATAATGGATGTAAGAAAGTAAGTGAAATTCCCCTTGAAAGCTCTATTGAGAACCATGCATTTTAAACGTCATTGTAATGAAGTAAAATTGACCAGTAAATGGATATAATGAACTAAATTAGTCTATTATATAGTCTATAAAGAAAAACGACCATAATGTGTTAAGTATATCGTTTTCTGCAGAGTTTGACGCTCATTCGGTGCGGCTGTTTCAAAACTTCAGCGCCGACCTTACAGCCACGCCACAGGTGGCCGAGAGAGCCATCCTCCCACACAGCCAGCGGAGAGGATTGAGGAAGCGCTCAGCAGGTCACATGACTGAGAAGCGGTGCCGCGGTGCAAAGCGATTTCCCTTTCACTTAAGAACACATGATGGGGAAGCTTCAGAAGACTTACATTTATTCACAAATCAGAGGACATCCGTCATTACTTGAAGTTATTGGTGATACGCGTCTGCACACGTTTGCCTTCCAGCGAGTCAATAAATTTCGCACGCAGTTTGCAAAGCATAGTAGTGCGTGGCTAAGTCCAGTGCCAACACTCTCTAAAGATGACGGCAATGACTGCGTCTCCGCTGCTACCCTTTACACCGCAGCCGGAGCGTGGCCAGCACATGAGGGGAGAGGAGGAGCGTCTCCGCACAGAGAGAAGCAGATCAGCATTAGAGAGAGAGGCAACACTCCGCGACAGCGTTCTTTTTTTTTTCCTCTCTCTTTGCGCGCAGCATTGAAAGGCGAAGGGTCTCTACGTGCAGGAATGGAAAATGAAGAAGCGTGGCACAGGTGCGTCGCAGGTCGGCATTTGAGAGAAAGCAAACATTCCGCCACAGTCTCTTCTTTCCTTTTCTTCTTTTGCTTCTTCGTGCGCAGCAATGAGAGGTGCCGCCGTGGGATTGGGCATGGTGCTGAGAGTATTTTCGAAGCGCGGTATGTTCGAATTAACTGTCCCAAGTGCTTGTACCTTCGAATTACAGGGCGTTTTCACCTATTGGAATACATATAAGCTTTGATGGGACCACAGGGTGAGTTCGAATTAACCTTAAGATCGAATTAGGTGTGTTCGAATGAATGAGATTCGACTGTGTTTATTTTCGTTGCATATGTGATCACGTAGCGGTACATATGTGATCACGTAGCGGATCACGTAGCGAGGCAGTTTTCCCGTCTTTACATGCTTATAGGTGTGCGCCCATCTGAGCATACATTGCCACAAACTGTTATAATCGATCTAATGAAATAATGGATATAACAAAATAATTGTGACTCCCTTTCAACGTCATTATAACGAGGCTTGAGTGATGTCTCCTATACCTTCCTTGGCGTCATTATCTGTTTGTCATTCAACTAGCTGTGCTGCCTTATGCTTGGGAACCACCTTTACTCATCCATCTTCTCTTTCTCTCCCTCTCAATCCCTCATTACCCTCTCAACTTTATAGAAAGCAAACTATGCAAAATCGAGTTAATCTGTACGCTTTTCCATCATTCTCTCTCTCTGAGGGGTAGTCTCTATCAGATAATTTTGGACACCATAGCATCAAGTCATTGCATGTAATAATTATACTTGTTAGTCCGAGTTAATAAATGCAAAGCATTTCTTTGCGTACTACAAGCACTTTTGGCATCTAAATGCGTATCTGTCTGTCTGTCCGTTTGTTCATTTGCCCGCCTGCCCACTTAAGTCTGGATACTCTCGTGATCACTCAACTTGACATGAAGCAAAATTAGTATGGGAGGGTAAGGTGGTTTGACGGATATGACGCGCTAGTCAAGACATGAATGATGTCAGAATCCCGTCGCATACATCCTCAGACACTTCCTGCCATACATTGTATGTGCCACAAATGATTGACATTTAGTACCTACCCAGGAATGACGAGAACACACATGGGTAATTTTAACGCGTAAGCATTAAGAAAAATGAAACATTGACAGTGTTGATCCGTCGAATGCAAAGAATAAATGCCAGGGTCCCAGCGGGAATCGAACCCAGCATTTTGCATGGCAATCAAGCGGTCTACCGCAGGGCCACGCCAGGTCTTAGAACTATTTTTCAAGTAGACCCTAACGTTCGTGAAACATCAATTGCAGCTGCAGTACTGCCTATCTAATTTTATAAACATTACATATGTACTCCTATGATACAGCCGTCACGTTGGGTTAACGTCAATTGTAGTTAGGTGTCATGCTCTGAAGTTGATTTATGTAGTAGTGTCTAGGCCACCATCCTCCCCAGCACCAACACTTCATATCAGCTTATCGCTTCTGGTGTTGCTAGTATTCATGTTCCTGTTGGCATAACTATTGATGTCGCACGGAGAACACAGGGTACGGCGCTGAAGCGCCGGCTGACACGAGTTACGCAGCAGCCGGTAGCCAAACAGGAACTCCTTTATTATGTACAATGCCACGCATATATACACAAAGTAGGTAGTATTTTCACCTTCTGAAGGTCAAAATACTTTACATGAAACCAAATCTGGCAACCATGAAATAGAAATCGAAACACCATAATAAACATCTGCAACTTTTCAAGATATGTCTGTGCATGCAACATTTGTACATAGATTTGAAGTCATTTCATGATGAGTTGCTATATAAAAATTACAACACCGTCCCCTTCCCTCTATATACTTTGCATAACGTCGATTCTCAAAATACATGGGATCTCTCAAATTTTTTAGAAATTGCTTACCTTTGCAATAATTTATGCAGTTGACAACTGTAAGGAAGCTCACAAATGAAGTCTAATAAAGCTTCATCGTAATGGCCAGATGTGCTTCAGGTACTTGTGAGGTCTTTGCACTTCAAGTAAAACCTGACTGAACAGCGATTTCAGCAACACACCTTAAGACTGTTGACTGATTGCGAGGTGGATTGGATTACAAGGAACTTTAGAAAAGGGTATTTCGCAGTTGTGTACATTTTTATTTTTGTTAACCGATGCATCTACCTTTGACCCAGATGTCTTTCCACCAACGGCACCTTGAATGAGCTGATTCCTTTTTGGAAGCCAGAAGACAAAGAGAGCTGCATACACTGCCTCTACAGCGTGAACCTGAAGGATGTGAGCCGTGCACTTTCTTCACATCGCGGTGACCACCTGACCTCTCTCAGTGTTGTGCTTGGCAAGCATTCCACGTTGACTACAGTCCATGCGCTGGCACTTTACCTGGCCTCTACGCACAAGCTACAGGAGCTGCAACTGCGGCTCGAGAGCGTACCGCAAGACTTGCAGCAAGTACTCTTCGCGGGCTTCCAGAGGAACGTCAGTCTAGAACGTCTGTGCATTTTTGGTAGGTTCCACGAAGCGCATCATCTCACAGACCCCACGCTTAACGCAAGTGCATGCATTTCTAAGAAGGAAGGCTTGTAGAAGATGTGTCGTACCATGCTGTTCACTGTTTGATTGGCTTTAAAGTAGTTAACGGCTATGTTTTGCTTTTGTACCTGTTTTTATTATTTTTATAGACCGACTTACTACTACATTTACTGCATGAGCTTCACTTAGTACGTGTACAGTATTTATGTCTGAATGTCCCAACTACTCTCCTACACATCAACCTGTCTTCTGCAGAGTCCTTCACTACAACAAGTCACTGTACCTTAAAATTCATATTGATTTTGCTAGAAGATGCCAAACATACTAGATTTACCTCGTTAGATGAGTGGCTTGCTTCCTTGCCAGGTTTTTAAACATTTGTTTTCCGAAATAATTATCAAAAGGAGGCAAGCCAATACAGTGGATGCTTGCAAGTAGTACTCAAGATATTTGACTGAGAAGAATTAATAGTGGAGATCAACAGAGCAGATCTCTGTAGCATGTGGTCCTGTTTTTTAGCAATGAAACCATTGTTGGTTATATATTTGCACAAAATCACTTAAAAGCTAGGGCCTTAGGCAACAAAATGTATGTAAGATTAAGGTTGAAGACTAGTGCATAGAAGACCAAAAAGAATGCTCAACAGCATCACAAGAGAATTGGCATTCATGATTCACTAGAAGCATCGAAAATGTGAGCAAGAGTACGTTTATTCAGTAAAAAATTGATTCGCATCAAACCCGGCTCCAAAGTATACCACTGATATGTAACTTTCTTAAACTTTGGTGAAAATTTGAAAAAAAAACAAAAAAACATCTTAGTTGTTTCATGTCAGCTGCCAATGCATATATCAAATCGGTCCACTTTTGATGCTACTAAAGATGCTGCTTGCTGCACAGTAATGTACTGTAGGGAAAATCTGTGCCATGCTTAATAGTCTGTTGCTGCTTTTGCCTCTGCCATCACGGTGTTACCTCCAAGTGCAGTTTATAATGGAGCAGCTTGGCTTTATTGTACACCCTAGGGTGCTGGGTGCATGTGTCTTTATCTTAGGGTGTTTGTTCTCTTTGCTGGAGACTTTACAGTGCAGAACTCCGCTTGCAGGAACCGAAAACCTTTGCATCCCTGAGAACATGCAGCAAGTGCTGTTCTCCTGGATGGCAGAGAGCAAGCGGCTCTACAGCATCAATGTCAAAATGCACGGTTACGACACTAAGCATCTGCTGGAGGTGCTTGCCTCGTCTCAACACCGAAATCATGTCCTCACATCTCTGGCATTTAGCAAAAGTTGGGCCGACCAGTCGGTACTCGAGACCAACCTCAAGATGGTGAGTCCGGCAACGATGGTGCCACAACCTGAAACTATTTGAGTGGACACTAAAAAAATTTTTCTGTATGGCATGAATGTGGAACCCGAGTACAGCTTCTGTGGTCTCAATTCATCAGCTCTGATTTTGCTAATTTGTAAAACACTGTTGTGTCACTCGTTCTACTTCAGAAAGAAAATCAAGGTAAACACAGCTTCTTTCGATACAAGAAGACCACTCTGCTTGTCAATTTTGTATGAAAAGAAATTTTGCACTTCAGGGTTGGCCGGGGTGGCACCAGAATTTTTTCTCAACTGTTGGGGCGCACCCACAGAAAGTGGGCTCCACAGGAGCATGGGTGGCGGTTGGGGCCGGATTTTTAATAGGCAGCAGCTCCCAATCTCATCGTTGCTTTTTAGCAGCTCAGCATCAGTACACTACTTATTAACTGTTACCGTATTTACCCAAATCTAATGCGCCTCTGATTCTAATGCGCACTGTGATTTGGAAACAGAAAAAAAGAACAGACCCCATTTTAATGTGCACGCAAGTCCTTGATTGGAACGAGCACATGATTTCCGCGAACGAACGGGAGAAAAAGGGAGCAAAGTATTTGCAGCAAGGAAAACAAAATTATATTTACTTAATTGCTATCGCTCTGAGAGCTCTTTGACACTCTCGGACCAGAACATGTCGTCTTCAGTTCCGTCCATAGCATTAAAGATTCCACATTTCTTGAAGGCTTTCTCAACTATGCCTGATGGAATCCCATTCCAAGCTTCAGCCACCCACCTTGTCATGTTTTCAATTAAGGCACGCTTCAGCCTGTTGCCTGATGTGAATGTGTGGCTTCCATTGACTAGCCACTCATTATAGGGTGCCCGCATGCGGTCTTTCATGGGCTTGTTAATGCAAATGTCCAGCGGCTGTAGCTGGTAGGTTGAGCCACCAGGAATTACAACCAAGTCTATATAGAAAGCCGCCAGTTTAGCTTTCATGCGCTGATCCAGGTGACACTTGAATGCGTCAAGCACAAGCATGGAGCGGATCCCCCAACTTTTCACCTGGTCTCTTGCGCTATACACAGTCGATCCAGCCAATAACCAGTTTAGTATCCATTCAATTTTTCTTGTTGGCACGCACTATAACACCTCGCGGGAAGTTTACATTCTTTAGAAGCGTTTTGCATTTAAATACAAGGAAAGGGGGCAACTTGGCGCCATCTGCTGTGCACGCCAACATTGCCATAACGCGGATCTTTTCGTTGCCTGTCGTTAGCACGTGGACTTGTTTTGACCCTCTTGACTCGACGGTCGTATTATAATGCATGTCAAAATACATAGGAGTTTGATCCGCGTTTCCTATTTGTTCAAGCATGTACGCGTTGTTGCGCTGCAATGACATTATGTAATTCTGAAAAGCAAGCAGCTTTTGCTCAAAAGCATCTGGGAGGTTCTGGCACACCCCAGTTCACCTGCACAGGGAAAACCCCTTCCACTTCATGAACCCTGTTATCCAATTTCGGCTCGCCTTAAAATCGCTTCTCGAGAGGCCTCAACTTCTGGCTATTTCGTAGGCCTTTACCTTTAGCACGTCAGCTGGGACAGGCATGTAGTCCACTCTAAGCTGCCTCACGAAGTCCGCAAGCTCATATTCAAGGCAGGGTAATTTTCCCATCTGTGGTTCATGGTGGCCTTTGCTTGACGGCTTGCTGGCAAAACTTTTTTTTTTCAGCTTTCGCCAATCACGAACACAGGTCTCCGGCGTGCTGAATTAAAGAGCCTCTCCCTGTTGTATTCTCTTCCATGGTCACAATAACTTTCCGTTCAAAACCATTATTGTGACGGACAGAATGCGTCTTCAAGGATGAACCATCTATTGGGCCTAGGGACGATGCCGCGCAAATATAACTCAAAAAGGCAGCAATAACAAAGAAGTGGAGAAAAAAAACACACACACACTTCTGCAATAGTGCCACCACAACTGCAATGCAGGTAATGAGGGAAAGAAAACGTGCTACCATGGTTACCAGCAACAAGTTACTTGGCGCTGCTTTATGACTATGATGATAGGCTGCAATGGCAGAGCCAGTTTCGGTTTGTACCCGATTCGAACGCGCATGCAATTTACGACCCATATTTCTTGAAAATAGGTGCGCATTAGAATTTGGTAAATATGGTAATGTTTTAGTACGATGCATTTATTTTTAGTGAATTAGTAAAATGGGGATGTTCTTATTAAAGTGCACTTGTGTATTTTATTTAGTTCGTTATAGTTCATGAAAACATTCCACTTTTTTTTTATTTGAAAATTAACTTTATGCAGCAGTATGTGTCTAATCATGACAGTGATTGTAGGTCAATGAGGTGTTCAACTGAGACACGGTGTACCATGTGTGTACTCACCGTGAATGCTCAGTGACGTAAAAAGATGTGAGACTAGCTCCAAGTCATGCAAGGCTTGATAAAGAAAAACTGGAAGATTTCTAATCTGGTTGCTTCTAGGTTGTTGCTAGTCTTTAGCTAGGTGATGCTAGGTTATCTTTAGGTTGGTTCTCAATGCAGAGAAAGGTTTTGGATGAATCACAGACGACAGACATGACATGGACGTCCCAACTCCAGAGACAGAAACTCACACTGAAACCGAGCATACACTCCTCTGGTAGGTGAGAATGCTGGGGCATTGATTGCTTAGGGGTCTTTTCACAGTCACTGTTGCCTTTCCCGTTCTATAGTAGTATTTTCTCGTATGTACTCGTGGTCTTCAGCTCTCTTTTACTGCTTTGCAGCAGTTTCTTGAGCTAACTGTTGCCTGTTTGATTTATAGTGGACCAGAGATGAATTGTGAGTTTTAGAGAATTTCTGTGACGTTCATAGTCATCATTTCTGGAGCTTAACGTTTGAAAAAAACGATATGGTTAGGAGAGATGCTGTAGTTGAGCGCTTCAGAAATTTCAATCACCTGGTGTTTAGTAGTAGAGAGCTGTACAGAAGGCCCCTTTGAAAGGCCACCCACTTGATGGCCATTGAAACACAACTCTCGAATCGATGTAGTTGATGCACTGCTATGCAGCAATTTTGAACAGCTGTTGAGTGGTTCAGGCATTTCTTGCAACATTTGTGTGCTGCTGTGAATATTTATTTTCGTATTCATATCACAGTATACAGTTGAACTGTTTTATTCTTGAGATGAGACGAGATGCCTCTTATAAGCAGGGTACCACGTATGCATCTTGTCAACCCATATTTTACTGTAGGCACACAGTCATCTCTTTAAACCATTTGTCTCTTATATCAGTGTCCCTTATAAAGGGGTTCAACTGTATATATTCATATCACAGTATTCAGTTAAACAGTATAAATGCACTTAAAAACTCATATATGGAGATATGTCGGTTGATGTTTAAATATTTGAAAGAAATTTTTATTCGTAGGTATGAACGCATATCTAGCTTTTAAGTCGTTGAGAAGCGAAACTGTGGCGATCGATACACAGCAAGATGGCATGATGAAGACAAGCACGTTGCTGTTGTCAAGAGTGCGTAAAAATCGCACATTTTGAGTGGCACACACAAAAAAAGACACTAAGTATTGTTCAACACTCAGACATACTGCTTTTAAAACGTACTAGTTAGATTCGTTTTTTCTAATCGTGTGTACGAGTGCACTGTGAAAAAGAGGGCACCATTGGCACTGTTCTCGCTTATGTCTTTCAATGGCCATCGAAGTTTCGATGGAGTTGTGGGGTCCTTCGTTGACTCGATAGACTATTAAGTTGAGGGCTTTTGAAACGTCCCCTGTAACATTTTGCGTTTGGTCATTGTATCGATAGGCTATCGGTCGTATGGCCTTCTAAATGCCCATGTGACAAAGGTATAACGTGCACCTAAATCTATGCACACAAGATTCAAGCATTCTGAGGGAGCCGGCAATGTTGTAGGCCCGTGTGCTCAGATTTGGGTGCACGTTAAAGAACCCTGGGTGGTCGAAATTTTCAGAGCCCTCCACTACGGCATCTCTCATTATCAAATGGTGGTTTTGGGACGTTAGACCCCACATATCAATCAATCAATCAGGATTCAAGCATTTATGCCTTCCTTGAATATGTGGCTGCTGTGGCCGGCATTCAACCTCCAGGTGAGCAGTTGAGCACCATAACCACTAGACCATCGTGGCGGGTAAGCACATACCCGTTTATGATGATGATAGTTTTTCTGGTCACACGTTTTACATTCAGCTTTTACAGCATCGCCACTAAAAAATGATGGCATATCCACAGGGTGAATGATGAAGAGTGGGGCGAAGCTCTTGCTATTTAGGATCGCTCGCCCCACACCTCAAATGAAATTCATCAGTAGATTGTCATTAAACAATGTTTATTATAGAAGCACTGACATCAAATTTCAAGATCGAGATGTGCCCATCATTCGATCACTTGGTATTCATAGGTCTTCTTAGCCAAATATGAATAGCGGAGATCACGTCGAAGTTATTTTATTTCGACGTCAAACAGCATAGAAATGCTAAGGAGGAAAAAACGAAAAATGTACTGCTCTGTCACATCCACACTAGTGCTACGTGTTTGGTGTGATACATTCCACAAATACAATCCTGAGTGACCATACGCTGGTAACGATGACGTCGACAATCTCCGAGTGTGTTTGGAGCCGGCTCCCAGTCATGCTTTCACTAGTGGCTCTTCTTGCTGTGTTGAACCGTGTGTGTGATTAATCGTGTCGCATCGACTGATTTGCGATGTGCTCCACTGCGTGCGAGTACGATCATTCAGAGCAACAATATGTGCCAGAACATAGGTCGGCACTTTGAGAGACTACTCACTCATACTCACTCACCACAATTTTTTTCAGCCTTCACCCTCACTCACGTTCATACTCACGTCTACTCCCACTTATAGGCCTTCACTCACATTCATACTCATGCCTACTCGCACTCATGAGTACTCACTAACGTTCATACTCCCTCTTTGTCATACTCAGAGTACTCACTCACGTTCATACTCAC